ATATACAATATATATATATATATATATATATATATATATATATATATATATATATATATATATATATATACTTAATATATATATATTAAGTATATATTTAAATATATTAAATATATTTAATTTAATATATTTTTATTATTTTATTCCTTATGGGTGCACTGAAAAAAATAGGTGAGAAACAACTTTCACCCAGAAAAACATAAAACGGCATTTGGGGACATAAAATAAAAAAAAAATAAAATAAAATAAAAAATACTTAAAAATAATGTTTGTTAATAAATATATGAATATTAATTAAATATATTTTTATTATTTTATTCTTTATGGGTGCACTGAAAAAAAATCGGTGAGAAACCATTTTCACTCAGAAATTGCTAGTAAATTAAAATAAATACAAAGAAACCGCAAGCAACACAACATGAAATTTTGACATACAAAATCAATATCTGAATATTTTTCTCCCAGCTTAGCGTACGTTTCGGCGGAATCCTTTATCCGATGATAACTGAAAGTGGCACTGTGACAAGAACGCTAACAAAGAGAGACTGTCAAAATGTTACGTTAGAGAGTAGTGCAAAACTTAGAAGTGCTAATTTGGTCTATTGGAAATGTTTAATTTCAGATTAAAAAATGTTATATTATGCCTCTACATTTAATATTATCATGTTTTTCAAATCATTAGTTCTTGTGTGTATACATACTTAGCATAAAATAGTTATTAACTTATTAAAAATAGTTAATAGTGATACGTTAATATTTATCATATTTATAATAGTTAATAAAAAAACTCAATTTGGGGACATTACATAAAAATATATATATATATATTTAATATTAATTTAATATATTTTTATTACTTTATTCTTTATGGGTGCACTGAAAAAAATTTGGTGAGAAATAACTTTCACTTAGAAAAATTTGTGAGTGTGTTCAAAAGGGAAAAAATTATTATTATTATTATTATTTATTAATTATTTAGTCTAAATGTCTATATTCACTTCTAAGAAGTTCTATTTTTGGATTTGGGTTAGTTACATAGCACTGGAATCAGTGGGAAGTCCCCAATTACGCAACCACGTAAACGTGTGTGTATGTGTTTCTGTGCAGTATCACTGGTGTACTCGCAGTTTCTTACCCCTCTTGGTTATCCTCTTCGTCCAGATTGGAAAGTAACTGGGATCCGGCCAGCGAGAGGTCCAGGGCAGCTAGAGGAAGGTCCCTGTAGGCGAAGCTGACCAGCTGCACTGGAGCCATGCACTGGCCTTCATCCTCCACCTGCCGGGAGATCACCTCCAGATCCGGCGCTGCCGCCTGCTGAGGGGGCCTGGGGACACACGGGACACACTACTCTATTGTCTTGTTATGTGAATGGTCTTAAATAAGATTACCTTAAAAATAACCTGGATTACCACAAAGACTTTACATATTGAACAGAGTAAATGAAACCATCTACCTATTATCACAAATGGGAAGTCAACATGAAATGAAATCTGACACTGTGTACTTTAACATGTTTCTGGTCTTACTGTGAATGATTTATCAGTGCATTGATTTATCATAATCTTTCACCAAAATGTTTTGCAGCCGCCATCCTCTAAACACCTTCAGAAACCACTTCATTCAACTAAACAATTTCCAATCAGTGCACTGGAAAGATTCATTTAAAGCAAGCACCTGACTTCCACAAACTGCTTCATTCATACTGACTATCCCTAAGAACTGATTCACTAAAATGACTCACTGATTCATTTGAGGCACTGCGTAATTTTATTTTATTTTTTTAATTATTATTATTATTTTATCCAGTGTTGGGGGTAACACATTACAAGTTCCAAAATAACTACTAAGGTAACGCATTACTTTTAAATTTACAATGAAATATTTGAGTTACTTTTATAAATAAGTAACGCAAGTTACTTTGTTTTCCCATTTATTCACTGACATCTTTCCCCTTACCTATGTTGAGAGAAATTGGGAGTAAGTGCAGAGGCAGAAAGCACTTCCTTTAGTCTGAGGCTTATTCATTTCACTCTTGTGTGAAAGGGGCCTTACACTTGCCAAAAATTTTACTTTTGTTTTTTGTTATTTAAAAACAAATAAGCAAGCCCAGCCCATGTGACAAAAAGTAACGCAAAAGTAACTAAGTAACACAATTAGTAACTTTCTCCAACACTGATGTCTTTATTTCATTTGGAAATATGTCACGATATGGAAGCAAAATGGGTTGTTTCATGTTGACTTTAAACAGCAAACAATGGCAGGCCCCATATCAGAAGTGTGCAGCACAAAAACAGGAAATAAGGCAATAAATAAGAGTCCTGGAGTTAGTATATGGAAAACCGCCACTTCCGAAGGAAAGACAAAGCATACAAAAGCTATACACAAGGGGAACTGTATATATGGCATAAAGAAGAGGAAAAAAAATGCCATGTTTAAGAACGCAGGAGAGGTCAGGGATGAGGAGCGTGTTTTTTTTTCCCAACAATGCATGATGCATGAGCCAAGCACAATGAACGACTAGCAACAGGAGAGGGAACTGAATCACAAATGCCACAGAGACCCAGAATCCCATTATTGAGACGTATTCCTGCAGATTGCCGACTGATGTGACTCTAAGACAGCCGGCAAGCAGATTGAGGAATCTCAAATAGGGCACGGCCACAAATAGCAGACATAGAATATGGAAATGCGTCTGAAACCTCAATGGCTACATAAGAAATGCATGAAAGCAGATCAAGTTGAGGCCGGCGTCCCACGTGTCTAGATTGATTCCTAAACCCAGAATATTCATCATGGTCGCACCATCATGCGTCGCATCCCACAATAATGAGGTATCGAGAGAATTTCAACACAGAATATTGTGGCAAAACAACAAAGCCCCACAGTTGGATGTCATGGCCGGTTCTGCCCCGTTCTGTCTTTGATTTATTGGATTCAGTGCACTGATTCTACTCACGTTTGCAGACTGGGATTGCTGTTCTCAATCTCAGAGCAAACAAGGCAATGAATATATACTTCTGGAATGCTTACAATTCACTGTTTGCTCTTGATATTGTGCAAACTTACAGGAACAGTTCACCCAGATGTGTTTAGGATAGAGTAAACAATGACAACATTTTTGGTATAACTACTCCTTTAATTGCAGTTAACAGCATAGAGGGCATGAAAACTAGCCATCTGTGCAGTCAGACAAGTGGTCGTACTTCCAAAATAAGCGGCAATGTAATAATTGTGATCATAATGTATGCTCATAACTGAAATCAATACTCGCGACCCTTAAGACGGCTTAATGAAGGGCAGAAGAAAGGACAGAACAGAGGCAGAGAGGGGCAGAAACCTGGGTTTTGGCTTCCGTCCCAGGCGTGCCGGATGAGGGGAGATAAATTATGCCAGTGCAAAGAAAAAAAAAGAGGAGGGGAACAAAAAAGGAAGCTTGTAATAGTACAGAGAAGGAGGAGAAAAACGAAACATTGCCACTGTGAATACAGGGTCAACAGAGAGACTATACTGTACTGTATAAATGTATGGATTGACATTATGAGATGGTGATTTTATGCTGGGAAGTGTTTCTGCTGGATATTGGCTCATCCCAATCTTTAAAATGTTAATGGCTGTGGACCCAAACGTACTGTAATTTCTCCAGAAAAGCCTCTTATTTTATCTGTGTGCGTTGTGTTTTGAGCAAACAATGTATCAAACATGAATGTATGATGAATAATTGGGTGAATCTGAAGAAATCTGTCTAGGACATGTTATATTTTACCTCAGAATAAAAAGATAGAAATATTGTTTTTGAAATATATAAGAATATATAAAGAAAATGTATTTTTTTGGGCCATTAAAAAAAACATAACATAATCTTTAAATTAATTGGGATTTTAGTAATATTATTTTTTAAATATGTATATAATTATTTAGTATTTACAAAATAGTATTAGTATTTTGTATTAAGTAGCAATTAGTAATTTAGAAGCATTTGATTTATTGCTTTACTTTTTAAAATTGTAATTCAGTAAAGGAAATGACCATTGCAGTGTTAATATTGTTAACTAAAACTGCTAAAAACATTTTTAATTGAAATAAAGTAAAACACAAATATTGGAAGAAAAAAAGCTGAAATATTGCCACACATAAAACTGAAATAAAAAGTAAACCTAAATAGTAAAAAAATTACAAAAACACATTACAAAATGACTAAATATTAAAGTAAAATTAAAAATACAAAAATAAAAGCTTAATATTCATAAATACTACTATACTATAATACAATGAAAAATTGAAATAATTTTCACTTAGAAATTGCTAGTAAATTTTACAATTACAAAAAAAAAAAAATTCAATCATTAAAATTAATACATCTGGACAAACTATGGTAATGGGAGGAAATATGGTTAATTGCCATAAATTGAATGTCACAATTAAAAAATAAAACAAACAAAAAAAATACTTAATATTTTATTTTTCTCCCATATGATTTTAACTGAAGTATACAATAAATTACAGTAGTGTACTGTACATTATCATAGCTTTACACATACCATAATGCTCCATGACAGCCCTTCTCCCCAAAATCTCTTTTCACAACCTTCATGCTGGCTGGCTGGTAAAGGACGGCCTCAGCATGTGGCGTCCCGTCCTCCCTGATGCTATCTGCACATTTGGCACTGCTTCCCACTGATTGCTAACAGGATTCTAATCAGTCCTGACACGCACAAACTGTTCAGGGCATCAAAATCACATTTCCAAATAACCATACACAAAGCCATAGCGCTGTCAGGTACTGATGAGTGTTCGCTAGTGGCACAACGCCCACAAAGAGTTTCTGTTCATCACACCACAGGACAAGTAGTAGAGGACACAGACATGAGACCAAGTTTTGATGTAATTAGAGGGGGTTACAGGAGCCCGAGAGGCCCTAGTTCCCCAGTTATCTGTAAAATCACACCCAACCACACTTAGGAGTGCCTGATTAGAAATGATTATATGACATTTTAAAATTCTAATAATCAGATTACATACATCTCCCTCTGTCCCTCTTAAACAGGGTGTGCCACAGGGCTCAGTCCTAGGGCCATTATTATTTATTTATATTATGCCCCTCGGACATTTATATTATGCCCCTCGTACCACTGCTATGCCGATGATATTCAGATATACACTTCCTGCCGACCTGACTCGGTATTCACCAGACTGCATCTCTATTGTCATGCGTCAATGAGTTAAAGACCCGGCTTAGCTCCAACTCTCTCAGTTTGAATTTGACTAAAACAGACATCTTACTTGTCGGGCCCCAAACTGTAACAAAAAACATAACAAATGCCCCTAGATTTGACCTCGAAGCCACATCAATTATTCCATCTGCCACAGTTAAAAACTTGGGTATCATTCTTGACTCTTCTCTAAGAGTCCTTGAGCTTGTCCTTCTTGTCCTTGAGCTTGGGAAAGGTGCTATATAAATTAAACTTATTATTATTTTATTAGTATACATGATTACATACCATTCACACAGCTAATTAATTGAAATTTATTGATTTCAACAATTTTTTTTTAATTTTACATTTCTCTTTATGGCAAGAAGGTAAACAAAAAAAATAAAATATATACAGTGGGGGAAAAAAGTATTTAGTCAGCCACCAATTGTGCAAGTTCTCCCACTTAAAAAGATGAGAGAGGCCTGTAATTTTCATCATAGGTATACCTCAACTATGAGAGACAAAATGAGAAGAAAAAAAAAATCCAGAAAATCACATTGTAGGATTTTTAAAGAATTTAGCTGGGATTGTGTAGAGCCCTTTGAAGCTGCATTGAAACGGCAATTTGGACCATTGGCCACCATTGAAGTCCATTATATGGAAAAAAAAACTTAATTTCTTTGCGACTTATGACAGAAAGGCATGAACATCTTGGATGACATGGGGGCAGGGGTGTGAAGTAACGAATTACAAATACTCACGTTACATTAATTAAGTACCGCAAGTGCCACTTTCGGTAAACTCCCACTCACTTATAAGACGCGCGATCTGCGCTGCCTCGTCTCTCTCTCTTGCATGCGTTCTGCAGCGGTCACTTGGATAAATCATTGTTGCTTGTTGAACTTGTTGACTTTTGATGAGTTTGAGCGCGTGATTCGCGCTGCAAAAAGTTTTTTTTTTTTTTAAATCGATTTTATACAATCCGCCTTCATTTAGCAAGTGCACTCGCGCATAAACAATGTTCAAGTTCAACACTTTTTGTTCCGTTCAGTTGTGGATGCTGCTGATTCACCGAGACCGCCGTAGCTCAGCATAGAGTCGTGTATGTGTGTGTTTTCCCAGAAATAACTCG